TCGATTGTTACGCAATAAAAATCAACGCACTTAAATTACAACTACAGCAATAATGATCTAACGAAAATTGTCATGTTAATTATGATAGCTCGCGATATCACAGCATCGTGAACCTTTGCGATTTATCAAACATTTATGTCTGTGGGTAACTTATACCACCAATGGTTTCTTTAAAAAAAAAAGAAGAAAAAAACAACAACTTAAAGAGACTAATAATTACATTGACTGTACAGTTATCAACTTGTTTCTGTATTCACGAGAGAAAAATGCAGACACACGTACCAAATAACCTTGTATATTACAAAAATATTTAAATGTACATAACAATCAGGAATTTTATATTTTTTTAACCGTGTATCTGAACAAACCAAGCCCAAAATATACGCACGGCGTTTTAGAATTTAAATTAAAATTAAAACGCCAAATAACACGAAGTAAAGTAAATTATTGTAAGTATAAAAACTCATGAACGCGCAACGCTGCATAAATATAAACTATAGAAGATAATTGTGGATTTAATCGACTTCGAGCTTGCGAAAGCTACCAGAGAGCCCGCCAAGGCCCTCGGATGCTGAACAGGTATCCTTTGGCGCGATTTCTATGTACATGTCGTCCAGAGCCTTGATTTCTTCCCTCTTAGCTCGAAGTATTTTCTTGAATTCGGCTTTTTAAACAAAAAAATTTAGTGTTAAAAAAATTGTTTGTAGGGTATTAGAGTTGAAGTACAAACTCACCAATCATTTCCGCCAGAGGGATATCACCGCCGTACTCTTTGGGCAAGATTTTCGGGTCCACCGTTTGCTGCAGGTCACTCAGGGACTTGTGAAGCTGAAAAGAAATAATTTATAGTATCGTTGGGAAACACAATGCGGAAAAATGTTTCAAGATCCGCACCTGTTTACATACTATTCGCGAGCGCGCATCGGTACAAAGAGCAGCTCCTTTGTTAGCGGCAGTACAATCGTTCGTGAGAAATGAATTTTGTGTCAAGAGCGAAGCGCACAATTATACCCTTTATATTAATCATCGCGAGAATCCCAGCGAGTGCCTAATTGAGCTCGTTCTCTAATCGCACGCAAAGTCTCATTTCTAATTCTATTCTACAAACCGGCTATTCGAAAGCAAAAAATTTATGCTGGTGCCAATTTTTTTTTCTTTTTCTTTTATGAATATCAGATACAAGATAATTTTGCTCGCGGTATTTGTACTATCGATACAATCTTCGAACGGTATATTATGCTTCAAGTTTTTTTTTCTCTCTCTCATTCAGCGTTACCATGAAAAAATTCCTTCGCTCCATCAAGGTGTGAATCGTTTTAAAGTAATGAATACACGTTGTTTTTTTTTTTTTTTTTCTCATAAAAAAAATATCGACGGTGATGGATGACGCCGAAGTTCAAAAACGAGTAGATGGGAGAGTATGACGTCACAGGGGTTACAAATCTTGTAATTTTTGTGACGACACCCAATATATGCGTAACTTGACCTTTTTTTTTCCTGTCGAATTATGTAAGAAAAAAATGATGTCTCTTTCACTACTTTTTGAAGGAAAAATTTTTTTTTTTTTTTGGGAAAAAAAAACTAGCTCGTTCGGCACGTACTCAAACACAAAATCGAAAAAATTTCGAAAGAAAAATTCCCACACTCACCACGACGCGCGAGCGCAGCTTCTCGTTGAGAAAGGTAAGGGCGATCTCGATGATCTTGGCACAGCCAGCAGGTACGTTCAATAGGTGCGTCGACTTGTGTCTCATAGGCGTCGAGTTTTGTATGCAGGCGAGCATGTTGCGAATGTCGGTCAACGACCAAGAGCTCAAGTGGCCCATCGTCAGACCGGACTCGTCGTTCAGGTGCGTATAACCGTGCACTTGGCTCTCCTCGTCGTCCATCAGCGCCTCGACCACCAACGAGTGCACCCTCACCATCTGCGCTGACGTGTACTTGTACGGGTCGAACCGACCTGACAAAAGTCACAAAATCACACAAATTTTGTTGTGTACAATCTTGGGTGGGGGGGGGGGAGTCTTGGATAACAACGTCGTGTGGCACGGTATACACCAGAGACACATGCGGTTCCATGTAAATTATGGGTATCTACAGGCATATAGAAAAACATGTAAGGGAGAAAGGGGACGAACCAGCACAGGACAGTATGACCTTCCTGCCATGGGAGTCGCGCTTGATGAGCGGCACCAAGTATCCGGCGTCGAGGATGGCCTCGATCTCCGGGTCGTCGATGTCGAGGTTGCGAAACCAGTCGGGGTACAGTTGCCTGATGCTCAAGTAGCGCTCGAGCATGTCCTGGGCCAGGGGTAGGCTGAACTTTTTCGTCCGCAGGAAGCGCAGGAGAAATACCGAGTCGGTGCGGCAGCGCTTGATGCTCGGGTGCTTGGCGATCCACTCGCGAAACCGCTCGAGACTTTGCTCCCGCGTGCGCTCGTCCTCCCGCAACTCAAGCTTGGCCACGGCCCTCGCCTGCGAGCTCAAGCTGCACTTGTACTCGTCCTCGTGCTCCTGGCCTCCCATCCTCGCGTCTGAAACCAAACGCCGCAACTGAACGAACACTGTTTCTCTTTGGCTCGAAAACAAGGCGGAAAAAATCGCTTAGCCCATCATTACACGTTTTCTCGTCTTTTCGAGCGCACTTTGCTTTATTGCATACATGGAGGCCTTGCGCAATAGCTGCCGGAAACGAGATCTTTCTGGAGAGGATACTTTGCGGTCGATGTGTCTCCCATTCAATTTTCCGTAATCACGCGGCTGCCGTCTTACATTACCCGCGAACTCGCTGACATTATAATATATTGTGGGTAATCCTGTCGGGAAAAACTAATTACCGGTTCTAAGGAGCCATTAGTTTCGATCGTTGCGACGGAGACATTTGAACGAGCTGAGCGAACAATGTTTTGTTTCGGAGAGCCGCCGGCGAGGTCGCCCGGTAAAGTGTAATTGGAGCGGCGGTCCGTGCACACATAGGAGCGAAAGGAAATTCTCGCGGCCTTCGGACGGAGGAGTTGGAAGCGCGTTTTGAAAAATCGTTGGCGCTACGTTATATTGTAATATATACTCTCGCTTTGATTTTTATTCCCGTGTATCGAAGGCGCGCTCGAACGTAATTTTCTATGAGCTGGCTTTTTTTTTTCCCTTCCATAATTACATGCACATCGAGACGAGAAATGCGCGTGTCGGGAGAGCCTCGGGCGTTTTTACGCAATTGGGCGTGATTCCGAACGGCGTGGTTTTTCTTTGCGTGTATGTATACGCACTTTGACCCGCGCGGAATAAAATGATTGTCGTTGCGACATGGTGGGATAATGTAAAACTATCCGAGAGATGATTTCGAAAAAAAAGTGATTTTTTTCCTTTCAGTCGCGCGTAGCTTATGTGGGCTAATAATGATTTTATGAGAAGCGTTAGAACCTACGTACGCGCGTTTGTTTGTTCAGGCCGCAGGAGGCATTGAAATCTCTTTTCACGGTTGCTTTCTATGCATGTAGGTATACATAATATTATGTATACGTGTGTGTACGGTACGCGCAGGCATATTTCGAAATGTAATGACTCGACAGAGAGCATAGCGCCTATTATTTTTCCCTTCACTGTATACACTTGGGAAGAAAAATTTCCCAATTGCGTGTTTGAGGATTCATTTTTATTTATTTTTTTTTAAATTTTAGTCACTTGTTGAAAAAATCCGTGCTCTCTGACGCGTCCATCAACACGATACATGAAACCTATCTGTGACAGTATGAAATCTTCTCTCGGTGCACACTCACGGCAAGTAGCACTGCAACGAGGTGCAAAAAGTTAGGTGGTGAAAGCAGTCCCGGTTGAATATACGCTGATGTATATCCGCTACCTAACGAGCAAAGTGCACTTTACTGTTGTAAAAAGGTTAAATCGATGAAAAGCTGATTTTATTTCAAGGTTTTTTTTTTTTTTTCGTCAAACCAACATGCTTAGACACGAATCTTTTTTCAATTTTTTGGAATAATTTTTTTCTAAAATCATACCTAGTGCATCGCTTGCGCTGAAAATAATTTTTTCCAACCAAAACAATGTGTTTAAATTTCAAATATAAATCAGTTATATAAAAAAATAATACAGCCAAAGTATCTATAAATACTTAACTGTCTCAAATTTATTGTATTGCACTTGTTTCAATATTATGGAGTAGTTATTGTGAATAGTGATGAATAAAATATTTTCTCAGCATCAACAATACACTTAAATCAGAAAACCGTAAAATAATCGTGCCCACCCAAAAATAAAAATTCTGGAATAAACAAAAAAGAGAAAAACCACTGAATTTGACCTTAAATCGTTAGTACATTTTTGTTCAATCACACCAGAGACGTTGAGTAATCGGATTGAAAAAAAAAAACAAGGCAAGAACTCAAACCACCACAGAAATAAGGCGCGCTCGCGCTTTCACTTTTGCACAGGGAGGAGCAGGCCCGCACACATATTATACATATATTATATACACGCCCGAGCAAACGCGTTACATCACGCGGATCCGATTTTCGTAAAATCCCTTTTCGCGATTTGCTTCCCGTGAGCGCGTATGGTCGCCGGAAGAGAAACCACTTTCCCCGCTCGCCCGTGCAACCACTTTCACCCCCATCCGTAAAACTGTTTTATCACTCGGCAGCTTACACTTTATGGTCTAATCACTCGATTTTCAACTTTTCGCACTCTGCAAAACATTTTATTTTATTTTATTTTATTTTTTTTTTATTTCCCCCAACACCCAAATAACCCGATTCTATGAGCTTTTGCGCAACTCCTCGTTCGGATGAAATTATGGAGGAATGCCATTACAAACGAAGATCGAAGGAAGTAACGGTGAAATCTCGTATTCAAGCTCGGCCTCACACGAGGATGTACCGGTATACTTTATGTCACATTTTTCATATACCGATGATTCAACTCGGCTGGTATTTGCCCACGGAGAATGAACAAGTAACGCGCAAAAAGAAATAAAGAGGTAAAAATTACGCAACCAGATCCGCGCAAATATTTAATCTTCGCGTCATCGAGTTTTTCCGAATAAACCAGTGACAACCCAACGCACATACATTATAGCTCTTACATCTGTACCTATATCCACCAATTGAAGAAAAAAAAAAGGACAATGTCGCTACGATTCTCGGCACAAAGAGATAGAGAGGGGGGGTACACAGAGGTGATTGTATGTAATTAATACAACAAAAGCCGCACAACTGGGACACACACACACACACACAACTTCACACACCTGTTGAGCTGTCAAGTCACACGGCGACGAGTACTTTTGCTTCTGTTTGTCGTAAGATGTTCTCGCTGCGAGAAAGCAAGAAGAGGGAAAGACGCGTCCGAGCGACTGTAGCCGTGAGGTGCTGACTGCTGGACAAGCCACGGCGGAGTAAGCCCGCGCGGCCGGCCGACTGATCAATTTAACACGCAGTAGGGGGAGATATAGAGAGGC